GGACTGGTGTGGCCGACTCGTAGCGCATCCACAGGGCTGGGGCATAGACTCAGCTCTCCTAACACCCAGAAACCGTGTTCTTCCCACAGGTCTCTACCACTATCAGACCCTTGCGTCCCAGAAAACAAAACCACGCACAGCAACATGGACCAGCACCAGGCCTCCATGTACCTGGCAGCTCTGAATTCAGATTTGCCAAGTGTGGGCGTAGCCGCTGGTGTCGGAGAGGGAGAAATGGAACGGGTTGAGTATGGTGGGCAACGGTAGTGCTTTGTGAGAGCCCCCTTACAGAGTCCCAAAAGGAGCGGCTTCAAACAAAAGAAGTATATTCCCTCAGGGGCTGGAGGCTAAAAGGCCGGCCATTACCCTGCACTGGGCCCCACCATTCTGAGCTCACTCTTGGGAAGGGGGCCTCAGTTGTCTCCTCCAGCCAACAGGAACAAAATAACCCCAATGCACCCCCTCCCAGGCCTCTGCAGGAGCCACTCCCACTGCCTGGAGCACTTCCCAGATCCACCCCCCATCTGACCGGCCCCACTCCTAGGCTTCCTGAAATCTCTACCTCGCTGTCCTCTGCCCCGCAGAGCCTCCCTTCTTCCAGGGCCTGGGCCGTGCCCCTGCTCTGCTTACCGGTCTGTGGCTCCCAAGGCACTTGAAGTCCACGAGGGCAGTGACCCCTGTGCTCCCAACTCCCAGATCATTAACCAGTCTTGGGCCAGGTGAATGCATCCATGAGAGCCCTGGTATAAAGGCCAGGCTTCCCCACCCTGCCCCCCTCCCAGGGGAAATTCCTTCTTTTGAAAGAACTGGAGGCAGAAGAAAGGAGCAGTTCTAGGAAGGGCTCCCATCAGGCCTCCCAAGCTGGCATTTGCCAGGCATTCCCTGGGTTTTACCCCCAAACCCAGAGCGGGGATGGCCGTGAGCATGGGGATGGCCAGGGAGGGCAGTGTTAGGCCCTTGGGGAGCAGCCCCAGGGGCAAGTCACAGAGACGCAGCCCAGAGCCACCGAGGAGTGACAAGGAAGTCGGTGGGCTCCTCACCTGCACCTCTCCAGGGAGACCCCAGAGATCTCCACGTATAACCTGTGACGACACTCCCTGACCCCCTGTCTCAGGCCCCAGTTCTCTCCACTCAGACTTCTGGCCTTTTCCACAGTCAGAGAAACAAGTCTGCCGACTATATTGCAGTAAAAAGTGAATTCATTTACAAAGGAAAAAAAAGAAGAAGAAGAAAAACAAACTTGGCTCCACCCCAGCTGGCTTCTTTCTCCCTCTCTCTGTCTTCTTCCTGCCCTCAATGTTTCAAAATTGCTGTAAAATATACACAAACAAAATCGACCATGTATATCATTCAGTGGCACCAAGTACCCTGATGACTTGTTGAAGAACTGGTTTGCCCAGGCTGCTCACCCAGCAACGGCACCTTTTCACATTGCCACCAGGAATGCACTGGGGTTCCCTTCTCCACATCCCCACTGACACTTGGCATGGCCTGCTTTTTAATAAGAGCCATCTTAGGGGCATCTGAGTGGCTCAGTCGGTTAAGCGTCTGCCTTCGGCTCAGGTCATGATTCCAGGGTCCTGGGATGGAGTCCTGCATTGGGCTCCCTGATCAGCGGGGAGCCTGCTTATCCCTCTCCCTCTGCCTGCCGCTCCCCCCTGCTTGTGTTCTCTCTCTCTCTCTCTCTAATAAGTAAATAAAATCTTTAAAAAATAATAATAACAGCCATCCTAGAGGGTGTGAAGGGTTTGGTCCAGGCCACTGGGCCTTCAGTAGCCAAGGACCCTCTGCATGCACCATCAATTTGACTGGAGTGTTTACATCTTCGCTTCTCCACTGTTCCACCACCAGTGACCCAGCTCTGATCTCCCAATTCAAAGTCCAGTTGGCTCCGCCAAGCCTGTGGATTGAACCTCTTTGGGGCAGGTGTCTAGCCCTGGTGCAGCTGGCTCTTGGGGTAGGGGAGTGGAGGGAGGCGATCCACGGGCCTTCCAATTCCAGGAGTGTGGTGAGGCCACCTTTCCTTCCTTCCTTCCTTCCTTCCTTCCTTACATTCCTTCCTTCCTTCCTTCCTCCCTTCCTTCCTCCCTCCCTCCCTTCCCTTCCTTCCTTCCTTCCTTCCTCCCTTCCTTCCTTCCTCCCTCCCTCCCTTCCTTCCTTCCTTCCTTCCTTCCTTCCTTACATTCCTTCCTTCCTTCCTTCCTTCCTTCCTTCCTTCCTTCCTTCCTTCCTTCCTTCCCTCCTTCCTTCCTTCCTTCCTTCCTTCCTTTCCTTCCTTCCTTCCTTTCCTTCCTTACCTTCCTTCCTCCTTCCCTCCCTCCCTTTCCTTCCTTCCCTTCCTTCCTTCCTTCCTTCCTTTCTTCCTCTCTTTTTTAACATCTTTCTCTCTCTCTCTTTTTTAAGATTTCATTTATTTATTTGAGAAAGAGAGAGAGCAACTGGGGGGAGGGGCAGAGAAAGAGTGAGAGGGAGAAGCAGACTCCTTGGCTCAGCAGGAAACTTGACTCGGGGCTCCATCCCAGGACCCCAAGACCATGATCTGAGCTGAAGTCAGATGCTTAACTGACTGAGCTGCCTGGGTGCCCCACGAAGCCACTTTCTTGCTGTGGGCAGGGGCAGTGGGGACCGAGGTCAGCTGTGGACACGGTGCTACACAGGAAGCCTGAGTGGAAACAGTGTGGTCACCAGAGACTGGCCCACAGAAATGATAACTGTCCACACCCCGGGGGGAGCCATCTTTATCAACAAACTATAGTTCATGAGCTCCCAGACCCTGGGAAGGTTAATAGTGTTTGGGTTTGTCTGTTTGTATGTTTGTTTTTCCCAGAATGATTTTTTTTTTCATTGACAGTGAGAAATAGATGGGCCAGGAGGACAGGGGACAGATCTGTGCAGGCTCTCCCTACGTCCATGCCCCATGAAAAGCCAAACTTTGATCAGAAACTGTGCCGACAGTGGTATTGGGGCAAGGGGAACCAGAGACCCATTCTAGGGACCATGAGACAGGGTACCTCCTTCCCCTCCAGGGCCGGGGCTCTCTGCAATGACTGGCTTTCTGCGTGTCTTTTATTTTATACTCATGGATGACAATTCGCAGCAGTGGGGAGAAGCCACAGACCTGCTATCCAGGAAACCTCACGAAACACTCAGTTCTGCGTTCACTGGGCTGGATGTGAGACGAAGCCTTGTGTCCGACTCCATTCCCCTGTGCCCTGGGCGCTCGGGCACGTTGCATCTGCCAGCCTGCTGTGTGGTTCAGCAGGAACCTGTGCCTGAGTTCTGGACATGAGCTGAGGGCACAGATGATGGACAGCCCTCCTCAGCCCGGCCTCGAACCTCCCTCATGTCTTCAGGGCTGCCTCTCTGTGCCCTGCTGGCCAGAGGCAGAGGATCCAGGGGAGAACTCCCAGCCCTGGGGGATGGCGGCCAGGCAGACAGAGGAGCCCGGGCCCCTGAACGACCTTGTGAACCAGATCCTCCCCCTCACCCAAGACAACCTGCTCTGTCCTGGGATGGGAGTGAGAAACAAGCATGTGTCCTGGGAAGCCACTGGCCTCAAGGGCTCTGTGTTACCTCTGTGACACTACGCTGAGGAGCGCACCCTGGAGACGGCCGTCCCCAAATCCTGCTCTGCTGCTTGGCCAATCCTGACTGCACCCAAACCGGCTGCGTCCAGCTCGGCTGTTCCCCACTTAGTGACCCACTAGGACATTCCGGTCCCACCTTCCTGGCTCGTGCCCAAGTCACCCTGCTCCCGATCTGTGGTCGCACATTCTCTTACTCACAAGGGCTTGAGCCAACAAGCTGCACGGATCGCTGGGTGACCTCCAGCGTGTCACTTGACCATCCAGTGTGCAGTGGCACTAACTCCAGCCCCCCAACGCCAGGAGGATCGGGGCGCCTCCAGGAGCTCAGAGCCCGGGAGACTCCCCTGCAGAGGGTGCCTCCGTCATCAATGCACTCATCACCAGCTGGTGACGAGGAGCTAAGTCTCTACTCCTTGCACTCACAGAAGTGTCCTCCCCTGGGCAGGTGGCGAGCTTATCCCCGGGCGTGCCCTGCCAGTGGGACCTGACCCTGGAGCCCCTACCCCTGCCAAGGACACTTCCTTTCTCCTGGACCTCCAGTGGTGGCCCGCCCTGGCCCGGGAGGGGCCCCCAGGGGACACGTGGGCTGCTCAGGAGCCACTCTGGAAATCTTGTTCCCACATCCTTGTCTCACACTCCTGGGGCACTTGGGGGTTTTGTTTGTTGGTTTCACGTAAACGCTCTTCTGAGGAATGATAATCCTTTGTCCACAGAACCAGAGGAGTTTTCTGGGGAAAGATTAGGAGAGGGTGGGAGGTAGGTGGCCTTGGAGGGTCCCAGGTTTGCCCCTCCGGGGCTTGCCCTGGGTCAAGAGCTAGGCAGAGGGGCGCCTGAGTGGCGCAGTCGGTTAAGTGACCAACTCTTGGTTTTGGCTGAGGTCGTGATCTCAGGGTCATGAGATCAACCCCTGCTTTGGGCTCCAGGCTCCGTGCAGAGTTGGCTTGGGTTTCACTCTCCCTTCCCCTCTGCCCCTCCCCCCTGCTCACGCTCGCTCTCTCTCTCTCTCTCTCTCTAAAATAAATAAAAAATCTTAAAAAAAAAAAAAACAAATGAGAGAGAGAGAGCCAGGCAGGAAGCTCTTGAGAGTATTGCTCAAGAGTAAAGGAGGCCTGAGGGGCTGGGGAGTAATGGGGTTCATTCTGGCTGCCCTGCCCTGCCTCTGTTTCCCCCCCATAGCCCAGAGAGATGGGACAGATGTGGACACTCAAAAGCCCTCTGCTTGCAGGGTCCCAGGAGTGCAGGCCCATGGGACTTAGGGCAGGAGGAGAGAGGGAGCAGGAACCAGGCATCAGGCAGGAAACGGGAGGGGGGGGGGTGCTGGTAGAGTGTCACCGCTCAGAAGAGGCAGGGATCAAAGCACCTGGAGGGCTCTCCAGGACAAAGGCAAACACTGAGGTCCCTGCTGCCCCCACAGAGCCTGGCAACCCCCGCCCCTGGCCAGGTATAAGGGCCCTCGGCCCAGCAGGGGATCCAGGCTGTGGAGGTGCCATGGCCAAGTCCCAGAGGCTGCTGTGGCTACTACTGCTGTCCACGCTGTGCGGCGCAGGCGCCGGTGAGTCTCCCCAGCCTCTCAGCTCCCTCTCTCCCGGGGCCAGGTGTGGAGGAGGCTTCCTGTCTGCCTCCAGGCGCACCGAGCTCCGGCCCTGAGCCAGGCGTTAGCCCTCGTCCGTAGGAGCTGAGGAAGCTGAGGCTCGGAGCGGCTCCGGCTCCCGCGCTTGTCCAAGGTTACACAGCTCTTGGGGCGGTGGGGGGGGGGGGTTGGCGCATATTGCAGGTGGGACCCTGCTCCATCTGACTCCAGCACATTTAAGGGCCAAGCGCTCCTGGTAAAATTAGGTTTGGAGGTTGGGTGAAGTCAGAGTGCCAGGTGTGACCTAAATCCCAAGGTTGCTCTGGCCCCAAACTGCAGCTGACTGGACCGCCTCGTCCCTGGATTGTGCCCGAGGTCCCGCGTTCTGGTGCCAAAGCCTGGAGCAAGCACTGCAGTGCAGAGCCCTGGGGCACTGCCTACAGGAAGTCTGGGGCCATGCAAGAGCTGTGAGTGCCTCCCGTGGATGCACCGGGACTGGAGGTCTGGCATAGAGCATGCTGGGTGGCCTCTGCGTGGGCCTGAGGGGATTCAAGCCCCCCCTAGGGGATGGGATGGGTTGGGATACGATGGGATAAGATGATATGGTTGGGTTGGGATGGGGGGTAGTTGCCTGTGCCTTGGAGCGCTCTGTCAGCCTCACACACCTGAGCTGGGAGCATGGCCCCCCCACTCAAATTCCCCACCTTGGGGCCCCCTCCCCAGGATGACCTGTGCCAGGAATGTGAGGCCATCATCCGCATCCTCACCAAGATGACCAAGGAGGCCATTTTCCAGGTGATGAGGCCCAGATCCTGGATGAAGCGTGGGGGCCAAGAGATGGGGGACAGAACAGGGCACAGAGGTTAGCCCCTTAAAGAGGCCATCTCCAGGCCAAGAGTGAGGCATGGGTTTGCCTGGGGACTCCGGGAACCTCCTGGCCAGGAGAGGGTCCTGGGAGTGAGCCAGAGATGGTATCTCCTAAGGGGGAGGATCCTCCCTGTAGCCAACTACTTAACCCCTCGGCACTCTCTCAGCTCTGGTGACCTGGGAGAGGGTGGCCAGCCTGCCTGGTGGTGGTCCTGCCTCCAGGGACTCGGGCGGGCACAGACCTCAAAGAGACCAGCCTGACTGTCTTCTCCCTGCCTCCCAGGACAGGATGCGGAAGTTCCTGGAGAAAGAGTGTGACACTCTGCCCTCGAAGCTTCTCGTGCCCCAGTGCAGTCACCTGCTCGACACCTACTTCCCAGTGCTCATTGACTACTTCCAGAGCCAGATTGTGAGGGCCCGGCAACCTTGCCTCCAACCTGCCTCCCTGACAGCCCCCATGTCCAGCCACACGCAGAGTTACCCACACACACTACACCCCAGCCCAACACACACACACACCCTACCCGTGACCAGTCCAGGAGACACAGTGACCCAGAGCCACATGCCCCAGATCACAGCCCTACCTGCTCAGCTGTACTGAGTGGGTCCACACAACGGGTTTACAAAACACCCACTACACACCCTCACACCCTTCACACTCACATACACTCATTCACACACTCAGTCTCATGCAGAACCCTCACCATCACATACTCACACATACAAACACACTCTCACACCCATGCTTGCACTCATCCATTCTCACAAACGCACATGCTTGTGCTCATTCACACACATCCCCAGACACCTGCCCGAAGACCCCACACAGCCCCACCTCTGCCTTTTGGCTCCCCCCACCCTCACCACAGAACCCTAAGCCACAGCCGCCGTCCAGCCTGCTGCCCCTCATTCCAGGCCCAAAGCCAGGGGTCTTAGTGCAAGCCCTTGAGCCAGGCTGGGCAGGAGTGGGTCCCCTCCCACACCCTGACCACTCCCTCACCCTGCATTGTGCCCTAGAACCCGAAGGTCATCTGCAAGCACCTGGGCCTGTGCGAACCTGGGCGTCCAGAGCCAGGGCAGGAGTCAGGGCTGTCAGACCTGCTGCCGGAGAAGCTGATCTTCCCCCGGCTGCCGGGAGCCCTCCAGGTGAGGGCTGGGCCTCACACCCAGGTGACAGAGGGCCCCTGCACTGCTGGCCCTTCATACAGATAGGCGGGATTCCATACAGTGACGCCACAGCCAAGGCCCGTAAGCACTTGCCCTGGAGAGGGCAGAGCCAGAAAGGGGCAAGAAGCTCTAAGCAGGGCTTAAGGCAGGGAAAAGGGGAAGAGAAGTCAGGGGAGGTAGGGCCTGGAGGATGTCTTCTCCCAGGGCCCAGCCTGGCCTCACCTGGGGGTGATTCTCTCCCCCAGGATCTCTCCGAGCAGCGGCTGCCCATCCCCCTCCCCTACTGCTGGCTCTGCAGGACTCTGATCAAGCGGATCCAAGTTGTGATGCCCAAGGTAAGACATCCAGGAATACGAGTAGTTCAGCAGGGCCCTCCACAGCTCCACCCTCCCCTACCCTTCCTCATGCCCCTGTCAGGGGCCACACAAGGGACCCCGGAGCTCAGGCTCAGGCGCCGTGGGGGCCAGGCCTAGAGTTCATTCAACAATTGTAAAGCCCCCGCTATTATATGCCAGGCATTGTGCCAGGCATCAAAGAATAAAAATGAACAAGACCTCGGTCTTGTCCACCAGCAGCTCACCATTGGATGGCAAAGAATCCCGGTTTGTTTCTCTGTTTGTTCAGAGAGAGTGCACAAAAGGGAAGAGGGGGGTTGTGAGGGTGGGGGGAGGGCAAGAGAGAGAATCTTAAGCAGGCTCCACGCTCAGTGGGGAGCCCAACGTGGGGCTTCCATCTCACTACCTTGAAATCAAGACCTGAGCCAAAATCAAGAGTTGGACACTCAACCGACTGAGCCCCCCAGGCACCCGGACGAGTGAGGCTTTTAGCGACAGAAGCCATCTTGGCACGTTTGTGTGCCAATGGGACTGGCCAGCAGATGGGAGAAGCAGTGAGCTGGGGAGAGAGGACAATGCAGGGTAACGTACTTGGGTGGGTGGGGGTGGGGGTCCAGGGCACGAGTCGATGGGCTGGCCTTGGGCAGAGCAACAACCTTTCTTTCCTCTGTCAGTGAAGCGGGGAGGCTAGGCGAGTGTGGGTTCTGACACAAGCAGGTGACATGCACAAGCATTTGGTGAAATGTACCCGTTTGGAAGGTAGAGCACCCCAGAGACAAATAATTCACTGTGTCGTGCGCCCACCTCCACCTTCCCAGCAATGGGGGACGGGGCGGCCACCAGCTGCGGCACAGCCAAGGCCAGCTGGCGCCGTGCAGGTTCTTGACACGTGTTGGTTGAATGAATGAAGAAAGGAGGGAATGAGCCAGAGTGCTTGTCACCTCTACCTCTCTCCTTGCCCTTCAGCTGGGAGATGGAGTTTGGAATCGGGGTGGGCTGGGGAACCTCCTCACTTCCCCCAGGGGCTCCAGGAGCCACAGATGAAAGTTGCTGCCGCTGCAGGGAAATGTAACAAGCCCCGCGTGTGCAGGGGGAAGACCCAGGTCTGATCACCGTGTGGCCCGGCTGACGGCCGCCTGTCTGGGCTGGCCACGTTCCTTCCCACAGCCCCAGAGCCTGTGGACGCCGAGCTGGGATGGCAGCCTGGCTCCTGAACTCACTTAGTGACTCTGGCGGGGCCCCTCAGACTCTTGGATGCCCAGCGTCCTTATCTGTAAACAGCGTACTCATTCCCCCTCCCAGAAGGGCGCAGGGTCAAACTACGAGATGCCCGCAGGTGCCGGGCATGGCGTAGACCTTGCCAGGGCAGGTCCCCGCCATGCCCTGTCTCTGCCCCACCCCAGGGTGTGCTGGCCATGGCTATGGGCCAGGTGTGCCATGTCGTACCCCTGGTGGTGGGTGGCATCTGCCAGTGCCTGGCCGAGCGCTACACTGTCCTGCTGCTAGATGCTCTGCTGAGCCGCGTGCTGCCCCAGATGGTGTGCGGCCTGGTCCTCCGGTGCTCCGAGGAGAGCCCTGGTCCCGGTGAGCCTGCTGCCCCCGCCCCTCCCCAGCGCCCACCCTCCTCTTCCCTGCCCCTGGCCCTGCCCCGCCCTCCCCTCTCCCCGGTGCCCCCTGCACTGCACCAGTCCGGACGACAACTGAGCACCTCTGCAGGGCAGGCTTGACGGTTTTCTCTCCCAGTCCTCACAGCTCCGGAGTCCCTGCCCGGAGAATGGTTACCTCAAGAGTCCGAGTGCCAAGTCTGCATGTTCGTGGCCACACAGGCCGGGAACAGCAGCGAGCAGGCCATGCCGCAGGCAATACACCAGGCATGCCTCAGCTCCTGGCTGGGCAGGCAAAAGGTGAGGGACGGGCACGCGGTGGACCTGGGGCCCTGGGCCTGCCCCCAGTGGAGGGGGGAGCCCGGGAAAGGCTTCCCCATCAGAGACGCACAGAATGGTCCGACCCCTGCCCTCGAGGAGCTCAAACAGGCAGGACGTGGGCCCAAAAACCTTGGAAAAATAACACAGGGCAAAACCTGCCAAGGTCAGGGGTCGCCTTTGGACAAAGGGCATGGGCCCCAGAGGACCTGCAGGCCTCCCTCACGGACAAAGACTAAGGCCCGGCTATCACGCCATGCCCACGGGAGCAGGAGAGGGCCTGGCCTTCTCTCCAGGGTCCCTGTCCTGTCCTTGCCCCATCCCTCTCTCAGTGCGACTCACCAGGGACACATCCACCCACAGAGAGGGCTGGGCTTGAAGGCTCTAGAGTCCCAGGACTCAGAGTCCCTACAGTGAATTCTCTTCACAAAGTCAAGTCCTGAGGCAAGTCTACTGATGACCTGCCAGGGAGGCAGCGTTTGGTATGGCACTCCCCTGCTCCAGAATGTGCAGGGCTCCCCACTGCCCACCACGTCAGGTTGCCAAGCCCAGAGGAGCTTGAAGATTTCTAGACCTGAAATTTGGGGGGATGGGAAGATGGTGGCTAAGATGCAGCCCCTGCGCATGAGCTGCAAGACCCTCCATCTCCAATGTCCCCGGCTTTCCCGACAGAACCCTCCATTTCAGCCCACACCAGCCTGTTCACAGCCAGAGCTGCTCGCTGGGGGCAATGGCTGGACCTCCACCTGGTCAGGAGGGAGCGCTGGAGTGACGCAGATAAGGGGAGAGTCCTGCAACAGGCCCACCACCCCCCCAACACACACCTGTTTCTTTCTCCTTCCTCAGTGCGAGCAGTTTGTGGAACAGCACACACCCCAGCTGCACACCCTCATGGCCGGGGGCCAGGATGCCCACGCCACCTGCCAGGTGCTCACCCTCCCGGCTGGTGCCAGGACTTTCCTCAGCTCCCAGAGCCCCCACCCTCTCCGGTCCACAATTGGCAGAGGCCTCGCTCCTCTGGGGCCAGGGCAACCCCAGGAGTGCAGGCCCAGGACGCTATTTTAACACGGGTCAAGGAAAAGCCACAAAAGAATGGACAAGGAGACATAGGAAAGGAGGGGGCAGCTGTAAGGAGTATGGTCTGATGCACATTAGGGAATGGAGGCTGTTCGCTGAGCAGCGTGTGCTCGGCAGGAGCTGCCAAGTGGGTGCTCTGGGGCAAGCATCCCACCTCCTCAGGCTCCAAACCTAGAAGGCCCATGGCTTAGGAGGTCTACAAGGTCACACCAAGAACACCCACCACATGGCAGTCAAAGTGAAAGCTGCCCCTTCCAGCAGGAGCTTCTCATCCCCCTCAGAGCTGGGAAGGGGGAACAGGGTCCAAGGCCTCCGGCCCTAACTCTGTCCCTACGGCAGGCCCTGGGCGCGTGTAAGACCACGTTCAGTCCTCTCCAGTGTACCCACATTCCTTACTTCTGACGAGAACTCAGAGCCATGGCAGGTGAGTCCGGGCTCCCCGTTGAGGGGAAGAAGAGGTAGATGGGTCGTGTACCCATCGGGACAGGGGGCCCTGTGTTCCCCAAGCAGGAAGAGGTAGTCACTGCTGCTGGTTGCCCCATCCTCCCCCTCATAGGCCACAACTCAAGGCTCCTGAGGGCCCCTCACAGCGCCATCTCAAGAATGGCCTCTCTCACTCCCTCTCCTCAGAATCCTGCCACCCCTGGGGCTAGGCCCAGCTCCCACCTCCCTCACCTTGTCCCGGGCCTCAGAGGGAGCTGCAGCTCACCCTCTGCACTCACTGATCTTCAGTATTTGACGTACCAAGGCCAACCTTTCCTGAAGTTCAGGGGAAATCATGCTGTGCTGCACAAAGATGTTGTCCCCTTAGAAGCCAGGAACTCCACCATCATCTGACTCCTCCTTCCTGAGACACATTTCTCTCTTCCTGACTGTCATTGTCTAAGTCAGAGGTAGCACCTTAGAATGGAGGGGTAAGTCAGATGCAGCCCCTATGACCAGGGCCCTCAGGACAGGGAAATGACCCTGAGAGGGACAGACATAGCAACTGTGGGCTAGAAGTGTCCCTGAGAGCAAACTTGGCCCACTTCACCATTCCGCTCAGAGCCAGACCCTAACACCCGTGTGTTAGGTCTGTTCACTCATTTTTTAAAAAAATGTAGTGGGTGCCTTATGGCCAGGCTGCGCTTTAGGGGCAAGGTTTACCGTTGTGAAGAAAACGATGAACCCCATGCCCTCCTGGCGCTCAGGCCCCAGGGTCTGACTCTTGCATCTGAGTGGGGCAGCCCAGGCCTGCTCCCGAATCTCTCTAGAATTATAAGCCCCTGTGGGAGGCGGTGAGGAGGAAGTGTCTGCCCCAACTCAGACCTATCCCCCAGGGACCAAATTCATGTTTTCCCCCCACCCTGATGGCAGCTGGGGGGATCTGGGGGCTGGGAGCTGCCCAGGAGACCAGGGCAGTCTCCTTTCCCCAGCTCCTAAGGCTTCCGGCACCAGAAAGAGCCAGGCCTTCCATCCCTGTTGGAACAGGAAAAGCAACGGATTGGCCCAGGGGGCCTGGGCTCTGGTCCTGACTCTGCCATCAACTGACCCTGGGTTCCCCAGCCAAGATACATTGCCCCCTCTCTGGCTCTCATTCTCCTCAGCAGCAAAGGGGGATTGAAAGAGGTGGTTTCTAGGATTCTTGAGCTCTCCCACGTGACAAGCCTCTTCCTCAGGCTCCCTGCCCTCTGCCCACACTGGGAAGCCTTCACTCCCACGGTCGCCTTCCCCATCTCCTTTAAGCTGATGGACCATGAGCCCGCAGCTTGTGACCTCAGTCCTGTTGTCAGTCTTACCTCTCCTGTCTCTAACCACAGCCTAAAGGAGAGCCACTTTCTTCCTCTCCGGGTGTGAGGAGCAGCCAGGGCAGCATCTGCTGGAGGAGATCTGCAAGAGGGGGGCTTCCGGCACAGGGACTTCCGGCCAGACTTCACACACCCCACTGGAGCCAGCGCAGCTCCCACAACACCCCCAGGCTTGGTCCCGGGGAACTCGTCAGCCACACACTCCTTCCCTGGCTCCAAGAGGGCAGCCTGCCTCACTTTCATCTCCATGTGCATAAGATACTGGCTTTTACAGTGGTTTTGCCAATATTTTCACAAAACTCAAATTCAGAAGAATAAAAAAAATGGGAACATCAAGTACCATAAAAGATAGATATACGAAGTCAAACTTTAAAAAAAAAAAAAAAATCAGGAAATCCCTGACTTGTCAAGAATGGATGCGGCAGGGCTCAAGCAAGGTGGGAAGGTGATTGGACAAACTTTCATATTTGAGATGTTCTCCGGCTTAAGGGCTATCACTTTAAGATGTAGAAAGGGGTTTTCTTTTTATCTTTTTGCAAGGTAAGCTTCCTCCAAGTTTTGGCTGAAATTCCAGGGTGATTCCATTTCTGCTATGATTTATCTCCTCAAAGCTCAGTTGGGGCACGGGCTAAAAATCGGTTCCTATGTAATCCAATGCCTGTAACAATACTAATAAAGCCTATTGCTTCATACTAAAAGGAAAAAGACAGTCATTGAAAATGCCCCCGAAGCCTGCAGCCTCACGCAGCTGGACTGGGCAGCGACATCACTCTCCTCCTTGAGGGAGAAGTAGGCGCCCACAGTGCTGCCCCCTCCCCGTAAATGCTTCCCGCCCCACCCCCACCTCTCACCCTCCCCTCTCCCAAAGAGCCCACTCGTGGGGATGAGATGAGGTTGTTAGGGTACCCCAAAAATCAAAATATACAACAAAAAAATTAAATGAACCTTTATCTTTAAAGACCTAAGTGCCTGGAAGTGTCCCTTTATTTATAAAAGAACTTTTGTTACTATACGTCCTATTATGAAAGATATACATGTTTATTATAGAAAATTCAGAACCTGCAGGTCACAAAGGAGTGGAAATCACCCACAATCCTGCCAATCCCGGGAGAGGACTGGAGCAGGATGTATACTTTGGCACTGAGCTATAGACATTTCCAATCCATTTTCCCCACATCTCCACCATTCAAGCTCCAGGAAAAAGATTTCTATACAATGTGCTCTTGGGGGTAAGGATGTTGGACACAAATCCCTGGCCTCTGAATTTGAACTTGTAAGTGAATTTTTGTAAATCTATAGCAGACTATTGCCTTGGAAACCATTATTTCGATTGTAAGGTCAAGATCCCCGAGAGAAGAGCGTTTTAAATTTTTTAAAAGCTTGGCTGGGAAGATGACAAGACAGAGCCTGGAGGGGAGGCAAGCATGGGGATGAGCTTGTGAGGATGGAAGAGAAGCTTTCACGCAACAGGAGGGTCAGGAGTGGACCAGCTGGTGGGAGGAGAGAACTGCAGGAAGCGGCTACGGCTGAGGCTTGGGGAGTCCCTGAGACATGCCCAGCAACCTGCACCCCCAGAGCAGGGTGGGAAAGGAGAAGCCCCAGGAGGTGTGAGGGCCGAAGAGCAGAGAGGACTTGTTCTTCCCTTTCCAGGGCATGAGGAGAACACAAGTCCCTTAGAGAAGGCTGCCTCCAACATGACATTAGAAAGAGTGCAAAAAACAGCCTTCAAGAGGGGGCCTAGCAGACAGGCCTGAGGACAGCCTCAGAGGGTGCCCCCTGCATGATGCAGAAGAGCAAGCACAGCCCCAGGGCCCAAGAGGCCATCAGAATCAGCTCTGCACAAAATGGAGGGCCCAAAAGAGCCTATGACTAGGGACAAAGCACTGACAGATTTCATGCACCTTGAGAGGAGCAGAAGTCAGACCTGACAGCCCATCCCAGCACAAGGGGAGGGGAACCGAGAGGACCAGGGAGAGCACAGTCCCCAATACCTCTCCTCACGACAGGGCACTTTGTCAATCATTCCCAGAAAAAATGGAAGTAGGGTCCAGTCGTTAATAACCCAAGAGGGGCTGAGTATTAAAAGGAGGGGCTGGGCGCCTGGGTGGCTCAGTCAGTTAGGCAGCTGACTCTTGATTTCAGCTCAGGTCATGATCTCAGGGTCGTGAGATTGAGCCCTGCGTGGAGCTCCATGCTGGGTGTGGGGTCTGCTTGGGATTCCCTCTTTCTCTCTCTCATAAATAAATAAAATGTTTTTTTTAAATAAAAAAAAGGAAGGGGCTCAATCACTTTCGAATGGAAATATTATATTGTGGGGGCTTAAGAGCCCAAATGAGTTCAATTTTAAAACAATAAAGACAGTTACTTTCATGTCCCCCTGATTAATGACTGAGATTTAAAATCCACAACACATCATTATAACATTTTATTACAGATCATTCCAAACTTTTCTCTGCACATACACAAAAATAGATGTAACAGATTTTTTTTCTTTAGATTTTATTTATTTGAGAAAGAGAGGGGCAGAGGGAGAGAAAGAAGCAGGCTCCCTGCCCAGCAGGGAGCCTGACGCAGGAGCCTGATTCCAGGACCCTGGGTTCGTGATCCTAGCCAAAGGCAGCTGCTTAACTAACTGAGCCACCCAGGCGCCCCTATATATAACAGACTTACAGAAATGGAAACATCCTATATATGCTTTGTAAACTGAACAACTGCTTTGTTCATTTAAAAATAATCTTTCCAGGTGCCTGGGTGTCTCAGTTGGTTATACAACTGCCTTCAGCTCAGGTCATGATCCTGGAGTCCCAGGATCGAGTCCCACGTCGGGCTCCCTGCTTAGCGGAGAGTCTACTTCTCCCTCTGACCCTCCCCCATCTTGTGCGCACTCTCTCTCTCTCTCTCTCTCTCTCATTCTCTCTCTCAAGTAAATAAAATCTTAAAAAATAAAAATAAATAAAAATAATCTTTCCAGGGGCGCCTGGTGGCTCAGTCGGTCGAGTGGCCGACTCTTGGTTTCAGCTTAGGTGGTGATCTCAGTGTTCGGAGATCAAGACTGGGCCTCTCTGTGCTCAGCGGGGAATCTGCTTAAGATTTCCTCTCTCTCTCTCTCTCCTTCTGCTCCCCACCCCCACGCAAGCTCTCCCTCTCTCTCTCTGAAATGAATAAATAAATCTTTTTTTTAATTAAAATAAATAAATAATAGATAATAAAAATAAAAAGAATCTTTCCAGGGATTCCTGGCTGGCTGAGTTGGTGGAGCATGCAACTCTTGATCTCAGGGTTATGAGTTTGAGCCCCAGGTTGGGTGTAGAGATTATTTAAAAATAAAATCTTAAAAAATAAATAAATAAAATAAAAATAATCTTTCCAGGTCAATAAATAGAGACGTCTGTCATTACTGGTAACTGCTGCATGGTATTTTTTTCTGGATACAAACTCTTCCCTTTATCAACAGTATCAACTAGCATTAATAACAATATTGTGAAAAATAAAAACCCTGGCACTTACATCTTTGTTTACCAGTCAATTTCCTTAAAGTCAATTCCAAGACATGAAATTTGGGGACAAAAACCATGCACATCTTTACTCTAACTATAGGCTGTATTGCCACACTACCCCTCTGTACCAGCCATACCAGCTTCTATCCCAATAACAAACACATGCCTCTTCACTCTCACCAACTCTCGTTACTAGCAACTTTCAAATCTTTGCTACTCTAAAATATAAAAATGACCTCTCTTGTTGTTCTATTTTGCATTTCTTCAGTTACTAAGTAAAAATTTTTTCACATATTTATTGACCGTTTATATTTTTTACCTTTTGTGAAATGCCTATTGGAGTTTTTGCCCAATTTTCCATAGGGATATTCTTTTTACGATTTTATTTATTTGTTTGAGAGAGAGAGCTTGCACACGAGCAAGGGGCCAGGGGCAGAGGGAGAGGGGGAAGCAGATTCCCTGCTGAGCAGGGAGCCCCACCACGACCACGCAGGGCTCCATCTCAGGGCCCTGGGATCATGACCTGAGCCGAAGGCAGAGGTTTAACTGACTGAGCCACCCAGGTGCTCCAGCGGTATCCTTCTTCTTACCACTAAAAATATATTAGGTATATTCATTTCTTTACTGTCTTGTATGTTGCAAAATTTACCCTGTCATATGTCTTTTACCTTTAGGTTATGTTTTCCATGTATCTATCTTTTCCTTTGTGATTTCTGGCTAAGAAAACATGAATTCCACTTCTTTTTCATGTGTGGGTCAGACCATCCAGAGCCTGAGGGCTCCAAAAGCAGAAGCATCTGCTGAGATCATAGCCATAGAGACATTGTGACCCCAGTTCAGACAGCAGGGGTGGAAGCAAGCCACATGTCACCCACAAAGGCCCTTAAGCTTCTGTACACAGGACATGACAGTCAGCTCTGAGCAGTGGTTCTAAACCTTTTAGTCAATAGTGTCTATTGTCAACATCTTGGGTGGGTTTAAAGACACAAAATCAGGGCGCCTGGGTGGCTCAGTCAGTTAAGCGTCTGCCTTCGACTCAGGTCATATCCCAGGGTCCTGGGATGGAGCCCCACGTCGGGCTCCCTGCTCAGCGAGGAGTCTGCTTCTCCCTCTCCCTCTGCCCCTTCCCTCATTCGTGCTCTCTCTCTCTCTCAAATAAATAAAATCTTAAAAAAATAGACAAAATTTTTGTCAAAAGGATAGAGAACACAGACTTAGCACTATATAATTTCCTCAGTGAACATTAGCAACTGACTCTTAGTGTCAAGCATTTTCCTAGGGCTGGGCACAAAAAAACAAAAAAACAGTTCCTGTCTGTCCTTTTGGAACTTAGAGTCTAGTTGGGAAGACAGACATCAATCATAGAATCACAGGGGGGAAAAAAAAAGGAATACCTCAGGTGAGCTATGTGCTGTCACTCAGAGACACTACGGTGCTGAGGAGGTGTGAGAGGTCAGAGAGGTGAAGGAAGAGCAAGTTCGAAGGGAGAGAGCATCCCCAGCAGAAGAAGCAGATGGCACAAAGGCCTGCATGGAAATGGAAGGAAGGACAGGGGTCCTGGGATTGATGACCAGGAGAAATTTCCCAAGACGTGAGGCTGAGAGGCTAAGGATTTCCATCTAAGAGCCAACAAAGTGTCTTCAGTGGGAGATCAGGGTGTGAGGAGAAACAACTTGGTTCGGTGTGTGCTTTAAAGGATTGGCCTGGCCAAAGTGTGAATGAACTGGGAGAAGGGGACACGGGAAGGGGTGGAGACCTGTGAGGAGACCACTGTAAACAGAAATTAGCAATAGCTTAGACTAGAATGACAGTG